TCAAATCCTTCGATTGAGGTATGGTTTTCTAGCTATTTTCCACGATCTAGCTGTTAGTTGGGTAAGATTTCAGAAATTTTGAGGTTTAATTGGTTAATTTCAGAGTTATTTTCCACGAAAATGAAAACGAAATTGCGATGCAGAAAACGAAACTGCGATGCAGAAACTGAAACTGCAATGCAGAAAACAAAACTGCGATGTAGAAAACCGCAGAAACTGAGATGAAGAATCGACTTCAATTGTTGGTGGTCTTCGATGATGGTCGCGCGAATGGGTTGGTGGTCTTTGATGATCGTTGATGGTCTGGAGGTTTCTGGAGGTGAAGTTGATGTCGTTTTTCAGCTTTGGTTTAAAACTAAATACTGAAAATGGCATATGTTGTAATTTTCATATTTTGTAATGGTATTTTTGTTACATTTTGGTGTTTGGCCTTTTGCTAATTAGACTAAATTGTATTTTTCTACTAAATTAGTAAACTATATTATGGTTTAAAACTAAAGCTCCCAAAAAATAATTTAGAAGCGTCAAAAGAGTTTGACAGCTGTCAGGAGTTAATTGGCTTGGGATACTGACATGGATGCTGGCCTTGGCATCCCCGTGCCAAGAAAGTTTTTCTCCCTTTACAGGGCTTCCTTTGGGGGCCCACATGCATATGGGTCACATCTGGACGATTCACCAGCACAATTTTCTTTACATGTGAGGAAGTGTGTTTGATGTAAGCTTTAGGTGTAATTTAGGCAGGCTAAGGAGTATTGTTCATTACTACAAAAATTGAAATAGACGACGGGGGAAAACCGTCAGCTTTTTGCATTGAAAACCGTCGTTATATCCGACATCTTTTGAATGACAAACTATGATGGTGCATCATCGTGAATTAAATGTAAAAACGATGCTTTTACTACAATCCGTTGTCTTGTTTATTAGCTGTAAAGACAACGGTTTTTTGAAAAGAATTGTCATCTATTATTTCTAAAGAAGGACAGGTTCAACGAGATCCACAAGACAAAGAGCACGAAGGGCCGAGAATTTCAAAAGAAAGGAGGCTAGGGTTTTGGAGCTTCACAATTATCAGGAGCTTTAGGACAGAGATTGAAAAGATACGAACTAGAGGGGTTCGTGAAGGGCCGCGGATTCACTTAAGTGAAATTTTTATTAGCCCGTCTTGGAAAGACGACTGGGACTTCTTTCAACTGTCGTGCTATTAAAATCAACGAATTGGAAAGACGACGATGACTTCTTTCAACCGTTGTGCTATTAAAATCAACAAAGGGTTTCGGACTCCACAACGACGGTTATTATAACACCAGTCATGGTTTGTAATGGTTTTTTAAACCACAACGGTTTTTTCATTTTGCGACATGTATCGTTGTTTTATATTATTGTAGTAGTGGTTCTACATGAGGTCATTGAAATAACGAAAATTGGGAAAGTAAATGAAACTGCCCTTATACGCATCTTAAACAATTATTCCCTGACCTCATTACCAAATTTAAGCAGCATGGAAAATTCCTTCCAATTAAAGTCTAAAAAATTACAAACTTCCCAGTGATATTTGAATACGCCTATTCCTCCAAAACTGAGTTTGAGGGATACCTTGACGGATTCATCATTTGAATATGCCTCTGCCAGGAATATTCTTCCCAAATTTTCTACATGAAGAAAAGAACTAAGAGGACAGAATGTACCTGAAGAAATACAGATGGAAGCTTTGTCTCACCAATTATACGCAACTAAGAGGACAGAATGTACCTGAAGAAATACAGATGGAAGCTTTGTCTCACCAATTATACGCAAATATATATGACTCCACCTGCACATAAAGAAGTTTAATTCTCCAACATGCGAAAACATGGAAAGAAAATGGTTTAAGACAGAATGCAAAAGCAAGCAATGCACAAAATGTTGTAAACATACTACTAGCATACAATCCTCAAATGTTACACTAATAGCAGTACTATAAAAAGGTGAATGCAGCACTATATCTTCTCTGCTCAATTTATCAGGGACTGTTGAACTCATGGCAAAAAGAACAAAAACCCTTAGCAATTTTTGCAATCCCAAAATGTTTTTCATCACAAATAACAAACATAGAGTAATGCTTCAATTCCCAATGAGGTAAACTAAATCTCAAGGAAAAATCCACCTCTGAGGTCTCAAACGTTATATGCATCAAATGGTTTCAGAGTAACTTAAGTATTTTTATAACTAACTAGAACACGTGGCACCTGTAATTTATGTGTCAAATTCTTTGACGTGAAAACTCATCCTCCTAACATGACGCGTCCATGATTTTCCCATCAATTGTTGATGGTCTAAGTTAATGGA